TGATCATGGCTCAGTGCAGCCTCATTTGACCTCCCAGGCTGAAGCAACCCCCCCACCTCAGCCTCTTGAGTAGCTGGGACCACAGGTGTACATACCGTCTGCCTGGCTGTTTCTTTAATTTTTGTAGAGATGGAGTCTCACTATGTGCCAGGGCTGGTCTCAACCTCCTGGGCTCAAATGATTCTCCCACCTTGGCCTCCCAAAGTGTTGGAATTACAGGCATGTGCCACTGCACCCAGTCACATTTTTTTTAAACATTACCTGAACCTTAGACGCTGTCAGTAGTTCACCTAGCCCCAATTACTTATCTCCCCCAATTACATATCACAGAGGTAATCACCACACTGACTTCTGATTAACTTTGATGAATCATCCCTTTGCTCTTCATTGTATAATAGCTTTACTGTTAATACCTTTGTCCATATTTCTAACAATATATTTTCAGAAACCAAATAGCAGACTGAAACTTAGAAATGTCAATCCCACATGTTAGATAAAGGTCCCAGGAGAAGATAAGCTGAATCAAAGCCCTGGTTGGGGTTCCCTGAGGATTTATAATAACCCTTTCTGGGGAAGTCAGTGGGTGAAGTCATGGGTGAGGCCTGGGAGACATGGGACCCACCATGGCTACTTTCCTACTCAGCTTCCATGTAGGCTTTGATGGGGGAGCTTTGCTGGGCCCCCATCCCCTGGCTGCCAGGCCTGCCTTTGAAACCCTAGAGGAAATGAGGATACAGAGGCAGATCTGTGCCTCTCAGCTTCCCAGGTGGCCTAGAAAGCCCTTGAGACACAGAGTGATTTTGATGAAGTCCCACCTTTAACTTTCTGAAAAAAGAAATGTTTTCCCATAATGAATATCTACATGCTTGGATTTCAAATAGTTTCTAAACTACAAGTCGAAAATGCATAGAGTCCACCTAACTCCAAAATACTCCAAACTCTATGTCTTCTAACTTCTTCATTTCTTTAAAAGGGCTTGGCCAGAAACATCCAAAGGAATATAAAATGCTTGAGCTCTTTACTTCTAACCACACTTGATTCCTACAAATCCCCACCCTGGGAACATAAGGGAACAGCTTTCTCTTAGATTCCTTGGGTGGAGATCATTGGTAGAATCCTCACACATTGTGGAATAATTTGTAAACCCTCACAGTTGTTGTGGTTTAATTATGTATATCAAGATACACACTGGTGAGGATACCAGGCACTTCCTAGACATCTAAGGAAACTGATGTTAAATGACCTTCCCCTGGACTATACAACTGTTTGTGGGAAAAGCCAAGATTAGAATCCCAGCTCAAAGCGCTTTCCATCCCACCCTATGATGCAGCCCACTCACAGCTGAGGTTTCACATGTTTATGAGGGATAAGGCAGTGGAATGTTCTACAGGAAGAACTTAACATGTCAGAGTGTCAGGGATTGGCACCATGCAGTTGGCTCAGCAGACTTGGCTTTTCCTACTGGCATCAGGGATACCTCTCCTGGTGAGTCTTAGGTTGCAATCAGGGCTGAACAGAAGCAGTTTGAGCCCAGGAACTAGATGAATGGAAGAATTCCAGCAGATGCTGTGAGTTGTGAGCAGACAGGCCTAGAAAGGAGGGTACACCAGATCTCAGGGGGAACTGGGTCAAGGCCATGAGTATCAATTATGGCAAGAAGGATTAGGTAGATACCTTAATTCTCTCTAGCAGGCACCAGGGTTAGAGATAGGAGTGCCAATGAAGAGGAGATTGCCCAGGGGACCTTGCGTTGGACACTGTCTTGCTCTGGGGAATCCTGGTCTTGCAGGCATTTATCCCAGTGGAAAAGAGAAAATAAATTCCAGTTTATTAAACATCTTCAGGTGCCAAGCACTTTACATACTTTGTCTCAGTTAATATTCACAGCAACTTAGATTTTATAATCTTCAGCTTGTTGATAAAAATGATGATATGATGATATTGATAACAATAACAACACACTCCTCTATCAGTCTTTATAGAGCAAGATACGTGTCAGGTATCATGCTCTGTGCTTTGTATGCATAATGTCTGATCTCCACAATAATTTTGGGAGATGGACATAGTTATGATGGATCTCAAGTGAGGATGCTGAAGCTCCACAGATTCAGTTGTTTGTTCATCTTCTAGGATGAGCCTTAAATTATTCCAGACACAGGAGATACGTCATTGAAGAAAATTAACTCCCTTGCTTGCATTCTAATGGGAAGCAACAGACAATAAGTAATAAACATGATAAAGAAGCATATTATTATGTTAGAAGGTGATAGCACATTTTTTCAAATCTAAGATGCCATTGATTATAAGGCATATCTTCATTTCAGAAATCAAAAATGAAAAATTCTTAGAGTTTATGAACTAGAGTAAGTAGAAAAACTGGAATATCTTGGAGTAATTACTTTTTTAAAGGCAGGGCAAGCAAGGCAAGCAATGCCGCCTGTCACAGCATTCAGATATGGGATTCTAAGAAAGCACTTCCCAAATGAGAAGTTTGTGATCTCAAGGATGGGGACAGCAAAATTTCTGGAAAGCTCTAGAAGAGTTGCTTTTAAGAAGTGAGGCCTGAGTGGGTCTGCCCCCCAGTGCTATAGAAGCAGATGTATTTGCTTGAAGAAGGCTGGTGGGGCTAGATAGTTTGGAAAACAGCTTTGAAAACTGCAAAGCCTTTGCCACCAGTGAACACCTCCCTTTTCCTCTCTTTAGAGTCACTTTTGGATTCTGTGGGTCCTTTAGAAACTTCTGAGCCAGTCTGCCCATAGACCAATCCTCTACCTACAAAAGCTGCTTCATTGGCTTCTCACTGTACTTGGAATCCCAGCTCCCCATGGCTTGCCATGCCTCACCACCAGCTCTCCTCCCCTAGGCGTCACCTGAAAGTTCTTCCCTGGCCCACTGCCACCTTCAGGATAAATTCTCAGCTCCCTAGGCTAGGCGCGGTAGTTCAAGCCTGTGATCCCAGCATTTTGGGGGGCCGAGGCAGGCGGATCACGAGATCAGGAGATCGAAATCATTCTGGCTAACACAGCAAAACCCTGTCTCTACTAAAAATACAAAAAATTAGCTGGGCGTGGTGGCATGTGCCTATAGTCCCAGCTACTCAGGAAGCTGAGGCAGGAGAATCGCTTGAACCCAGGAGGCAGAGGTTGTAGTGAGCCGAGATCATGCCACTGCACTCCAGCCTGGGTGGCAGTGAGACTCCATCTAAAAAAATAAAATAGAATAAATAAAAATACAAAAAAATTAGCCATGGGTGGCAGTGAGACTCCATCTTAAAAAAAAAAAAAAAAAAAAAAAAAATTCTCAGGTCCTTACAAGCTCTTGACCGTTTGCTTGGGACTTCATCTTTCCCAGGTCCAGTGTTCTCTGAGTTCCCAACTCCGTGCTAACCCCTGGTCTTTCTCTTTGCTATTGTTGCTTCCCGTTTGCATAATCTTCTCCTTTCGTTGACTTACCTGCCCAGCCTACAAGACTCATTTTGGACAGAATCTCTTCTGAGCAGCTTTTTCTGACCATCTCTCTAATTAAACTGTCCTCTCCCTAGTCTAAGTTAGGCGCTGCTCCTCCAGTGTAATTGCATAGCACCTTTGCGGTCCTTGGCCATGGAGTGCTGGCACTGTGTTGTCATTCACAGTTTGACTTTTCGTCTTCCTCAGTAGACCACAGACTCCTGAGGGCCACAGATGTGCCTTTTGCCTTGATTTCTGCAGCCCCATCATGTAGCGCACTACCTGGGACATAGTGGGTACTTTAATACATTTGTATTGAAATGAATGAATGATTGAATGAGCTCCAAAAATGCTGGGCTTTTTGTTTGGTGTTTTACAGGGATGGCCAGTCAGGAAAGATAACTGTGGATGACTATGGAGCCAGAACAGGCAAATCTCCAGGCACGATGCGGCAGCTTAACATCAATGGAGCTCTGTATGTGGGTAAGTGACCCTCTACCAAAACTAAATCAGTCCAGTGCTTTTCTGGTTAGTCTTCCATTTGCCGTGCCAAGTCTGTGCACTTTGCTGGATCAAATACCTGAAAATCAGGCAACCCTCCAGATATTCCATTCTTTCATTTTCTGAACTGCTGACTCATGGCTGAGGAGGCAGGAAGGACTCCCTTCAATGTTTTTGTGCTTTGAACAGATCCACTAGGAAAACCAGGCTTTTCTTGTTTATAGAACAGGAACCTGCTAAATATAGCTCCATGAATTCTCCCTGACAAAAGAGGACCTGTCTTTTTGTCCCCTTGCCGAATAAAATGACTAATATTTCTGTAAATGGCTCGTAATTAATTCAGTAGTGCAGACACATAAAAATGAAAAGTTGTTTTTATCTGTATGATATTTTCTATTGAAAGCGTTTGACATCAATGCATTTCTTTTGGTTTAAGATGATATCAGTTGTAACTACATACTGTGTTCTGTTGACATTATACCACACTTCAAAATTTACTAGACACTATTTGGTCTCAAGGTGGTCAGTTGGGCCGGAAATCACACATGAGACATGAATTTATAGCTTTTGATCGTGTACTAAATTGATCGAAGTCAATCTGCTCCTTCAAGGCTCATTATAAAATAGAGAGAGATGAGGTAGTGAGCAGTTCAAGGCACCCACAGCCCTCATGGTCCTTTTAATCAAGGGATGCCTTGGTCAGCAGATATTCAAGGGCCCCAAGTGGAACCCTGACCTTGCCCTGCTGACACCTGCCTTTGGCTCACCTCATCTCCCTCTTGTTTCCTGGCAGGTGGAATGAAGGAAATTGCTCTGCACACTAACAGGCAGTATATGAGAGGGCTCGTGGGCTGCATCTCTCACTTCACCCTGTCCACCGATTACCACATTTCCCTCGTGGAAGATGCCGTGGATGGGAAAAACATCAACACTTGTGGAGCCAAGTAATACCAGCTGGCCTTGCCCAAGGGATAGAGCCTTCTATTCTGAGAATCCCAGGGGCCCTGAGACCCTGCCTGATGCTATATGCAGAGGCCCAGGGGCCAGGTGTGTTTCCTCTCATCAAGGAGAAAGTACACACTGATGAGAAACTGAGAACCAAGACAGGCATCTCTGGGTGGCCTTTCCTGCTGACACTCTGCGAGCTGACCCAGCAGAATCCTCTGTGTAGGAAGCATCAGACTTTGTCCATTGACTATGTCGTGGCTGCCAGAGATCACACATCAATGCAAATTCCAGAGCCTGTCTGCTGTAGCTCAATGACTGTGTTGTGATTCATAGTACATTAAAGAGAGAGAGAGAGAGAGAGAGAGAGAGAGAGAGAGAGAGAGAGAGAGAGAAACCCGAAGGGCAGTATTAAAATACTTCTCTCCTTCCCTGACTCATGACACTCTTCCTGACAGCAGAATGACTGTGTGACCTTGAACTTCACATTTCCCACCTTGGCCCGTGGATTGTTTGGATTAACCCCTTCCACTCCTCACTGACTGGCTCACTGTGTTCTGACAAATCCATGAAAATAAAGATGGAAGGAGACCAAACACAGAATCATAATCATAATGCGGCCCCCCTCCCCAGAGCTTACCTCAAATGTGAAATCCCTACTTTTTATAATGCAAAGTTAAGAAGCTGAGCTCCCTGATTTTGTAGCTGTACTTTTGTATGTGTATATTTTTATAGCTGCAGACTGTCCACACAGTATACTTTTGAAAGTTTGGGTGGATGTCCCTGAATTCTTACATACCTTTCCTAAAGCTTTTCTCCCAAAACAAACTTGTTTGGGCCGTTTCTGGTGTCAGTGGAATGGATAGGTAACTTGGGTGGGCGACTTGGGGAGCTGACCATTCTCTTTTGGTAAATGTTGACGGCTCAAGGGGATGAATATGAAGCTTTCTAAGATAAGCAGATTAAAAGGAACATGTGTCACCGAGGTAGGTCACTGTCATTTTTGTTTTAAGGGGGAGATATCTGTAGTAAACTTGAATAAAGGGGACAAAGAAGGCTAGAACTTACTCGTTCTTTCATTCATTCACTTACGGAGGCCTTAACTGATTTTGTGGAGGTCAGGTCCATACTAAAAGACACTAACACAATCAGTGTTTCTAAGGCTGTGCAGGGGTGGGGGACATGCCATCAGGATGGTCGGAGCATCTGGGTGAGAACCAGAGAAACAGGACATCATCCTTCTGTACCATGAGCTGTGACACTTTGCTGTGCATGCACGTGACCCCAGAGACAGCTGGTTCACTAGCAGATCCCCATGACCAGACTTACTAAGGGAAAGGTAAGATGAACACTGCCTCCAAAGAGGAGGGAAATATGATCTAACTCATGCAAGAGCCTATAATTAGTCCCAGTCATGACTCTACTTTTGTTTGTGCAGCATTCATTCAGCAAAGACTTCTGGGGTTTGTGCCAGGCACAGTTCTAAGCACATATATCATTGTAAAAGATGAATAAATAAACTAGAGAGGTTCACTTTGTGCCCCAATCTCCTGTCTTTGGGAAGCTTTGATGGCCAGGATCCTTTCTCCCAAAGGAATCATGGTAATCATTGTCATCGTCATCATCTGCTCCTAGACACATAACCTTACATGAGTGTAATCCGGAGAAAGGCCACATGGTAGCAAGTGGCTTCCCCACCTCCCTGACACCCTCACCCCAACACCTTTTCCTTTGGTACTGTTGGGGCCAGTGCTTCCCAAGATGTCATGGAGTTGCTTTTACAGCCCATTTTGAATGGATTGCCTCTAGCCATAAATATCATTGTGATTTTAGCAAAATACTCAGCTGAATTGAAGCTAGAAGAGCTGTTGCTGAGTGCTTCCATGAAAGTAATACCCAGAGAAAAATGCAATGACCCAGGGATGTAGGCCTGGGAGTAGACCCACCTGCCTCTGGGTGGGAAGCAGATGAGGCTCAAGGGAGAAGACTGATGGGATGGCAGGGTCGGGGAGTAGGGATCTGACAGGTGAGCGAGCAGCAGAGTGGAGGAATCCAAGAGGAGCTGAGGCCCTGGGAGGCTCGGGGTCAGAGGACAGGGAAGAGACAGTGTATCCCACGTGGGCTCATGGGTGTCCAGTTTTCTCTCTATGTGTATCTGCTGTCACGGCCACAATAATACTGCATAACAAAAATCACAAAAACCACAGTGGCGTACAGCAGTGAGTGTTTATTCCTCACATGCCTTGAGTGGTCAGCTTGGCAGCTCTGCCAATCTTGTCTGGGCTTCACTAGGTGGTTCTTCTGGTGTCAGTTGGACTTGCTCACATGTGGCAGGGTTGCTAATTCAGGACAGCCTTGGCTGGGTTGGTGAGGTGGCTTGTGTCTGCTCCGTGTGTTTCCTGTCCTCCTCCTGGGGCCTATGGGCTGGCCTGAGCAGGCCGTTCTCCTGAAGATGGTGGAGGGCACGAGCACGAGGGTAAAGGTGGAAGGCCTTTCGCAGCCTCGGCTTGGCACTGCCACACCCCAGTTATCTATGGATTCAAGAGAGGAAGAAATGGGCCCACCCCCACCGTGACGTATGGGCTCTTCTCCAGCGTGAGACAGCTATCAAGCCACCTGGCAGGGGGCATGGACTCCGGAGCACTAGAAAAGTAGTGCTACTGATGCAATTCCTGTCCACACCAGTAAGTCCCATGTCATTCATAGCAGGGTACAGTAGGGATGCTGTGACCCCCTGGCCACAGCTCTCCTCCAACCTTCTCTAACCCTTGGGGCAGGAGGCAAGGTCCATGACATCCTCAGTGCCTGGCTAGGCCAGGCCTGGTGGGAACAGCCCCCAACCTTCCCATGGCACTGCAGTGCCCTCTCTTCCCCTTGCCCTCCTTCCACCTGTTCCCTGACCCTTGGCAGCTGGTCCTGTTGCTGTTCTGAGGAGGAGGCACTGGACCGGCCGGGAGATGCGATCTGTGCCTCACTTTTGGGTTGCCAATGTGGGGAGAGCATGTTGAAGGCTGGCCAGGCTCTTAGCTGGAAAGAAAGGTTTGGGGTGTAGCCAGGGAGCTGGGAGGTTAACATGAGTCTCTGTACTAGGCAGGGAAGATACACTGGGGCACAGGATGCTGAAAAGCTTTTATCCCACAATCAGGGGTCGAGAAAATTCCCCGGAACCTCCCACATGTTTGAAGCAAGGGTGACTGGGTGTGGGGTGAGGATGTCCTTGCTTTTCCTTTTAAGATGGCCTTCCTAACCCTGAATGTTCCTGGAGCCCCCCACCCTCCGCATTTCTCTTAGGAAGGTCCGTGGGGTCTTCTGTGTCCCCTCCTGCGGCGGCCCAGGCAGCTGCCCCGGCCTGCCCGCCGCTCTGAAGGCCGCCCACTCTCCCACCCTGGTATTTGTCTTTCATTTCCTGACCCAGTCCTGCTCCAGTCTCCAGGCCGCTCCAACACAAACAGGCCGGCTGGTGTCCACACACTGACTGCCCTGCTGGCACGGGCACTGGCACTTTCCTGCTGCTGCCCCCACGCCTTCCTCCCCTCCCACGTTCTCCCTGCGCCCTGCAGGAGCTGCCGCCTCCTCCCCACGTGGGAGGATGGAGCTCGGAAAAGCGCCCGGAGCTGGAGCTGGCAGGCCCAGGGCTTTCCAACTTGGAGGAAACGCTGCATTTTTCACCTTTAACCCAGAAAAATATGGTTCTCAGAAAGCTTGTTTTTAGCACTGTGAGTTCCCAAAGGAGGAAGAACAGGCAGCAGGAGGGGCCCCCAGCCCCTCTGAGCTCCAGCAGCAACCCCCACCCCAGAAGGCCGTTCTTCCTGGGACGGAAGGACCGAGGGGCAGCCTGAAGAGGTCCAGCTGCGGCGAAAAGAAAGGCAGAGAATTCCAGCTCCCAGTGGAAAGACAATAGTTTAGGAGGGGAGCCTGGACAAGGCCTGAGCCGCTTCCCACCTCTTCCCTGCCTCTTCCAGCTCCTGCTCAGTCCAGGAATGCATAGTAGCTGCCCTTGGAGCTGGGGGTCACTCCGGGGGTGCCCTCCACCGCCAGACCCTTAGCTGAGAAGGCAATAAGATTAGCTTATCAAAGGCAGGAATGACGTTCTCCAGCACTTTCTCCCTGCAGAGCTGCCAGCATGGAATCAAAATTAGAATCCGAAATCAGGGGTCGGACAGCTCCAGCCCACTCCCACGTGGTTATTTTTCCAGCATGGAGAGGTGCATCGTCGGACTGCATCCGAACTGGGGACTTATCCCTGGAGAAGAGAAATGTGAGCAGCCCCGCCTCAGCCATGGTGAGGCCCGAAGTCCCAGGGCTGCAGGCATTTAAGCTGGGGAGTCCCGTGGAAGTACAGGCTGCCGTTAGGAAGTTCCAGCTTACAGGTGGCTATAGTCGGGCCAGCAAAATGACTAATCCAGTGCAACAGCATGAGCTGGCCTCTGGGCTGGCCATGTGAGTAACTACACCGCAACCTCACGGTCAAAGAATGTTCACATACTTGATCTTCATAACAGTTCTCCTCCGATGATGGCCGGAGCAGATGGGCATGGCCTGTTTGACTTAGGAAGACAGACACTGGCCAGAAAGACTAGGTGACTTGCCCCTGGTCCCACCGCAAGGATGCAGCCATGATGCTGCCCCCTGGAACTTTTCTGCCCTCAGCCTGACTTCTGGTCAGGTGCAGCCTGGCCAGAGACACCCACATTGTTGAGGGGCATTCTGGGGCTCCCTTGGGTTAGCTGTCGGCAGTATAGTCATGAAAGTGAGGGGGATTTGGACCAAGACCAAGTCCCAGGAGTCTGCCTGCCAGCGCATGTCAGTTTCTCAGCCCTGAGTCTGCCTTCTTTCAAAGTCCTTCTGTTGCAGGGACTCTGGGTTGAGCCAATCTGAAAGCAGAAACTAAGGAACTAGTCCAGTGGGGTGGGATGCAGGCCCCTCTACAAGCAACTGGGCGTGGATTAAATTCTTTTTGCTTCCCTCCTTTGCTTTCATCTCCACAAATAACCTCCATAACCCTGGGGTGTAGTGCAAGCTATTTCTGCCCAGCAGCCTGTTCCCTCGGGCCCCTGCCGTGTCCCAGCCAAGACACGAGCTGAAAGGGCAGGGCAGGCAACCGGGAAAGGACTCCCCTGTCGTTCTTCTTCTTCCCGCTTGCTCTTGCTGAGGCATCTTTGTCCTAGAAAGTTCGGAGCTCCCAGGAGCACTTGCCCTTTCCTGGAAAGAGGAGAGAGAGAACATTATGTCTCAGCACTTGGGAGGAGGTCTCTGCTTTTCTATTTATCCATCTTGTCTCTCAGTTTTGCTCAAGATGCAAACAGTGGCCAGGGGCATAGACATTTCCCAGCATGTGGCATGGCCTCCCCATGTCCCC